GCAATCCCTCTTTTATATATATTTCGTTAAAAACAACTGGCCAGATAATGTTATTAAGCTTTTTATTTAATTTTCTTGTGTTCGTAAAAGTGTTTTCTTTTCTGGACACAAAGTTGGCAAAAACTGTGCAATAGTTTTGCATATCCAAGTGCCTTCAGCTATTCTTTTAATCATTACCACTTGCAGAAACTCTTGCCACCTTAATTTTATGAGTGAATGCCAACTTAGATATAAAATAGTAGCTATAAATATTTTTCTAAAGCGGGTACACCAGAATTCATCCTCTCGTCCCCTTTTCCTTAAAGAACTCAATAATGTAAAACAGACGTTAGTTAAAAATGGTTTTCCTAACTACCTCATCGACCACCAGATTAGACTATTTCTTTTTAAAGTAAGTAATAGCGATACTAAACATGCAGATAAAAACAATAACATTAACAGCTACAAAAGCTAAATGCATGTCAACTATAAGCAAGACGAATTTTCTCTTAGAAACATCATAAAGAAACACACAAACCCAGTCGACCTGAACAAGCAAATTAAATTATCTATTACATAAAATTTAAAACAACTTACGTTATCATCAGAAATAACAAAACGCCCGCAAAATCAAAACTACAAAGAACCAACATTACGAGTTCAAATGCCCCTTAAAGAACTGTGTTACTGAACAAACCAAACTTATAAATAATTACATGGGTCATATTACTATATTGCTTATCTAGACGACTTATGTTATATCTACTCGACCATAGCTCAATTTGGACTCATTTAGTCACACACAAAAACCTATCAAATTCCATCCGAAACATACTAGTACAAAATACAAGTATAATAGCTTTATCCACATGCAAAAAAAGATAAAACATAATGGAAGCCCTAATAGAAAAAAAAAGTCAACACTCAATAACATTAACTACGAACACGGCCATAATGTGCTGACTGTGTTTGGTAAATAAAACATTCCTGCAATTTCAGAAACATACATAAAACCCACATTCAGCTAAAAATAAAAATCGCTCTTGATAATGACTAAAAGAATAGCCGAAAGCGCTCGGAAATGCAGAACTTTTGGAGAGTTTTACACTCTTTGTATCCAGAAAAGAAAACACTTGTACGAACACAAGAAAAATTAAATAAAACGTTTAATCGTTAATCGTTACCTTGTCAGTCGTCTTCTGAGACATCATTTGTCGCGGACGACAAATGGGGGCTCAGTAAAATAAAGAGATGCTCAACTTTTATGGGGACGCATATGTTTCCCAAGGGGTGCAGGTGTTTTGTAAACTTTTAGTCAGATGAAACATGTGGTTGAGCCATTTTGTTAGAGTGCTTGAGGATCAATTGCCACATGTTTCAACGACAGCAAGACCTGCTTTATTGCGTGTGACAAAGCCGCAGTGACAGATAAGTCTATCATTAAGAGGAGCAACATGCTGCCAACTTTCTTTAATATTTGCACGCAGTTGATCACAATGTTCAAGTTGGCCTTACCCAAACCTTCGCATATACATTTAATTTGATTTGTTTGTTTAACGGCTATACAACTCTTGCATGAGTCATTTAATGACGAAATTTAATTTTCTTGGGAGCTTTGAAGTAATAAAAATATAATGATATATGTTATTCTGCTCTCATAATGGAATACATGGTAGATGATAGTCAGCTTTTATGCATATGCATGTTTGTGTGGATATAATTACTAGAGGCGGTGTTATGTGTGTTTTATGTTGTAGATTTGTTTTTGGTATACAGTTTGATTTCTTTAAGAAATTATAGGATATTATATGGATTAATGTCATGAAAGAGTTCTTTCATGTTCGTTGTTTGGGTGATTTTGTTTCGTGGTTTGTATGTTTTCAACTACAGATAAAATAGATTGGTCATTTTGCAATAAAATATATTGTTGATAATTCTATAAAATTGTACTGTTGGTCATTTTATTATAAATAGGTACTGTTGGTCATTTTATTATAAATAGGTACTCTTGGTCATTTCATAATATAAAAATGTATTACTAGTATTTTTACTATAAAAATATATTTTTATGTTTTCAGGGTATTTTGTTTTTGTTTGGAGGGGGGGGCACTATTTACACATAGCTGGGACCCTAACAAGTACTACCACCCCTGGTCAATGTGGAACAGCAATTAAGTGGTGGTTCCATGATCCCCAAAACCTTCAATCTCCGTCCAGTGCTTTCTGCATTCTGTTGAGGTTTCTTTCAGACTCGATGAATTACTTAATTATAATTATCAGATCCGCCTAATCATTTTTATCATTTGTATATCATTGCTTGAATCGGCTTCTAATGCTCAAGTTTGAGCGGCTTGGTGATAGTCGTGGCTCCTGGGTGCACAGTCCTATGGTTAGAGAGAATCTCAGTTGAGTTCCACTACGGAATATGTGAGAGAGCGGCGCTATATTGAGTCTGATTTGCTACCTCTTCGTCACCGAGGCCCGTTGGAACAGTTGGTATGACGTTTTCTTGATAACCTAACTGCCCGGGTTTCAATTCTCGGTAGCGGATGCGCACTGCTGATGCGTGCCAAATATAGGACAAAAAGCCGTCCTGTGCTTTATGTATTCTGTTGAGGTTTCTTTCAGACTCGATGAATTACTTAATTAAATTTATATATATATATGACAAAGTGGAAAAAGTTTTCTTGTGACGCGTCTTGTCCTTTAGTACTTCATCAGATTAAACTTGTTAAGTTGGTTCGACTATACATGCGTACGAACGAGGGATGCTGGTAGTTTTACATTATTTTTTTTTAATCTGGCCGTTTTCATTTACATTCTTTTGATTTTTGTTTCTCTTCCATTACAATAAAATATTTTCCATTTTGTCATACGTGTTTCTCCAATATTGTTCTTGATATATAAAAAATATATATCGTTATCTTATCTATATAATAAATGCGAATGTCAGTGTGTCACTGTGTCACATTTTTTCAACTTTACTCCTAGACTCCTAGATGCCGTAGCCCAGCATTTTGGAATCAGACCGATGTCGTGAGTAAATTAACAACATTCCGGGATGGATCCGGACCCGCAATCCTGAAATTTTGGATTCCGAAGTTTTCATTTCTGCGATTGTTTTCGGATTCCGCCATGTTGTCTTCTACTGATAAAAACAATTTAAGGGACGCAACTCTCAAACTTTCAATAGCACATGTTCGAATGAAAAAAATTATTGTTCTCAAATTACCGTGTTTCAAAAGAAAATTGTCTGTCTTTTCACCTTTACTTTTAGAGGCCGTAGCCGAACATATACCATTTTGGAATCAAGCCGGTTTTTTGAGCCAATTAAAAACATTCTGGGCCGGATCCGGACCCGTAATCGTGAAATTTTGGATTCCCAACTTTTCATTAATGCGATTGTTTTCAACGACTTTCTACATGATTTTTTGCGAATAATTTTTTTGTGCGATAACAAGTTTTATAACTTGAAATAAATTTTGGAATAATCGAAATTAATTGCGAAATCCAGTGAAAGTCACTGATGAAACAAAAATAACTGGAAAGTAAGGACCTACGTGCATCAAATTGTCTTTAAATTAAGTGGCGACAGAAGAATTATCGTTGCACTTTTAAAAGATAAACTTAAATATTAATGCAATACTTAAATGCAACGATAAATTTTGAGTTCTGCAGTTTATTATTGCCTGTCTATCTATATGTATATATATATATATATATATATATATATATATATATATATATATATATATATAAGCAAAACTAAAAAATCTTGAAGATATATACATAAAACAGTTGAAACCTAACCTGAACAAAATAAACTATGAAATCTCCACAAATATTCTTAAATGCCTGTAATTGGTAACAGAACCTATTGGTTTATACCAACGGCTTCCCATACTTAATACTTCTCGTTTTCACTCTCGCGTGGTCATGTGTGACCTCATGAGCTGCGGTGCGATTTTCGCTTCCAGCGTCTTATATGAACGAGTTTGTCGTTGGTTGGAAATCTTCCATGTAAACAGAAACAGACTATCATCACTGTCTTGTTCATGTATTGCTTAATATATTGTAATGTAACTGTCATTTTGATAATGGCTTATGTAAGCCGAAAGCTTAGATAGGATTAAAAAATATGTATCAATATTGTGATTTTCTTTCTTCGTTTAATGGTAATGTTATTAAGCTTATCAGACGATATGAAAAGAATTTACATAAAATAAATGGACAACACTTGTCTATATTATTTAATGAAACATGCATCAATATATATATATATATATATATATATATATATATATATATATATATAGTAGACTTTCCCGTCGTATTCGACGTATGAGGTCAAACAGCTCAGTTCCTAGGAACTGACAGTCAGACACCAGCACATATGATTTGATTATAGCGGTGAAAGCTTTATGCAGAACCAACCACACTTTTTTGAAGGGGTGAACCAACCACATTTTAAAGGGTCCCCAAACGACCCTCCACATATATGAATGCGGAAGGCATATGTAAATGCAGAGGGTCGTGTATATATATATATATATATATATATATATATATATATATATATATATATATATATATATATATATATGTGTGTGTGTGTGTGTGATTGAAGTCAATACTCAGCGGCGACAGTCTGTTCCATGCTTAACGTAAGAAGACAATGATAAATTTAAAATGCTGTTACATCTCTTATCAACCTTGATCTGAACCGTTACATAATTTGGTATCCACATACGAGATGAACATTAAAAACCTAAGAAGAAGAAGCATTTTCTCACAATAAATTAGCTTAAATTGCTCTGATGGTAACCATCAGTCTTTTACGATTTCAGTTTGTCAGATCAAAATGGTATAACTATCTGAGAAGAAATGCAACAGAAAATGTTAAAATCGTATAAGGTCAAAGATAGAAAAAAATTAGGTCAGTTAAAAAAAATCGTCGACACCGCATTGACACAGGCAAATATGATGTGGCATCCGTCGGTCACGCGACACAACAGCACCATTCAGTGCCTGGGGATTATATATAAGTGTATGAGTGAGAGAGAGAGAGAGAGAGAGAGAGATAGAGAGAGAAAAAAAAAGAAAGAAAGAAAGTTCAATGACTTATTCTCCGACATAAGAGTAAGATAAATCCATTGGATTCAACAGAATTATCTATTTTTTGTTGATGCGACCCCTCCTCTCTGGGTAAGAGAAACCGTCGTTAGATCCGACGTGCTTTAGACAATCTCGGCCAGTTGGTGGATGCAGGTTCGAATCCTGCCGTAGAGTGCATATTTTTCTTTAATAAGATTTCTCGAATATTCAAACCAGTTGACGAAAATAAATAAATATACTGTTTAATAAGTAAACGGAGAGTCTACTCAAATATGACTATCCATTAAAAATATCGTTGAAGTGATTAAATCTATCGGATTAATAAAAAATCCATCAATTTTTTTTAGAAATTGCTCTCATTACGTTAGGATAGGAAACGGAGCAGATATGAATATTTCGAGAGTATGAGAAAGATTAGCATTTATAAGGCACTATTGAACTTTGCTTGATCGGCGGTGTACTTCGCCGCAAAATGATTTTACTATGAAAATGGATTAAAAGTGATTTTACTATGAAAATGGATTAGAAGTGATTTTACTATGAAAATGGTTTAAAAGTGATTTTACTATGAAAATGGATTAGAAGTGATTTTACTATGAAAATGGTTTAAAAGTGATTTTACTATGAAAATGGATTAGAAGTGATTTTATTATGAAAATAATTCTTTTAATCCTTTCACCCTAAGCAAAGCAACAAAGACAGTAAGACAAAAGGATTGAGGAATGTGAAAGTATGTAAGAAAAAAATATTAAGGAGTGAGAAAAATAAAAGATGAAGAATTAAGAAAATAGGAAATAACGATTGACATTGCATTTAAATTTTTGAAGATCAAAGTTGCCCACATATCAAGAAGCCAGAAGAGAATTCCACAAGCGAGAAGTGCGATAGATGAAACTGTTAGCATAGAACTTACGGTTACAGCTAACCATTTCTACTGTAAAATGTTGAAATGAGACCTTGCTGCCAATTCAGTACAGCGATTAAATTCAGAGTCTAGATACCATAGGATAAAGTTCCGCAGAAAAATTAACATTAAAATATTTATAGAAACAGGGAAGCTACATTATGGCGGTGGGAAAGTGATCGAAACTGGAATGCCAGGTCAGGACAAATAATATTGCTGATTCTTCTTTGGATTTTATCAAGCGCACCGGACCATATGTGGCAGCAATATTCAAAGCATACACGAATGGTAGACTTATAAATATTTATGATAGAATTTGGCGATAAAAATTGTGTAAGACAACACAGCGAACCAACTTTTCTCGCAGCAGACTTAGGAATTGATTCAATATAATCTTTCCATTTGCAAATGATTTCATTATGAAAATGCATCGGAAATGATTTTACTATGAAAATGCATTTGAAAAATGATTTTACTAAAAAAATGTATTGGAAGTGATTTTACTCTGAAAATGCATTGGAAATGATTTTACTCTGAAAATGCATTGGAAATGATTTTACTATAAAATGCATTGAAAATGATTTTACTATGAAAATGCATTAGAAAGACATTTTACTATGAGAATTCATTGGAAATGATTTCAGTATAAAAATACACTGGAAATGAATTTAAGTAAGGTTGGTTCTTTTACGTTATTTCAGTCCTTTTTAGATTATTTAATGTCGAAGTTTGTATGGATCACCCATTGAGGATCAAACTCATCACTTGGTCGTAAAAGTCAGCCTGGCTAGCCTCGCTAAAAATAACCACACACCAAGGCGCACAACAGAAAGATAATATGTGTGTTGTTGGGCGGAAGTAGGTGCGTATGTATAGCTGCTTGAATGAGAGAAATCGAGATTGATTGATCTGCCCCGAAAGTTGCGGCAACAGAATCACCAGTAAACTGTCAGGTCACCTGAATCTGATTGAGTAGGGCCAACTAATCAGAACATAAGACAGAACGGACACTGATTTTGTGTATGTGAATATCGATCGACGCGACTAACGGAAATAGCGTTTTTTTTGTCTGGCTAGGAGACGGGTGGGAATAGAATGTTTATTTCTGTAAAGACACAGATAATGTGGCGCAAAGTCAGAAATTGGGACGATAAGGGCTGGTCCTAACTTGTCCTTTCACCGAGCTAGTCAGAATCATTAACCTATTCACACGAATATTGTTCCTTTTACTATTTACACTTCAAGATCATAGTACAGACACCATAATGGCTGGATGTTGGACACTTCCACGCAGTGTAATGATTAGCAAACTTGTCTTGCAAGAACAATTACAGCTGATTAGTGAGTTCGATCCTCACTGGGTTCCCCAAACTTTCGGCTTTGCACCATACCTAAGCTACACTTAGAAAACCATTTGGGCACCTCGACGTGGTGTAATGGTTAACAAGCTTGTCTCGCTAGAACAATTATGACTGAGTAGTGAGTTCGATCCTCACTGGGTGCCCCACACTTTCGGCCTTGCACTACATCTAAGCTACACTTAGAAAACCATTTGGGCACCTAGACGTGGTGTAATGGTCAACAAGCTTGTCTCACTAGAACAATTATGACTGAGTAGTGAGTTCGATCTTCATTTGGTGTTTCATACTTTTGACCTTGTGCCACATCTAAGCTACGCCTAGAAAACCACCATAATGGCTGACCCTTCATTTTCGGCTGCTAGGGAGGCCAGCCTATCTCTGTTGCAGTCGCATGATCAGACACGCTTGTTGTTTGTTTCAACACCCACAGAGCCCACTTGTGGTTTATACTACAATGATACTGAGATGGAGACTTATTTAAAGTTACTTGGAGAGAGCGCATCATTTAGTGTGATCAACAGTTTGAACCAGGCCAGTACGCTCAAACTTGGAAAATGTCACGGTGACTTGTGACCTAGAAAGATATAATAATAGCGCATTTAATATATTTATTTAGAAATGTTCATTTTGATGTTAATTGTTCGTTTTAACGTCTCAAAAACGAAATTGTTCTCCTTTAATCGGATGAGAGAAAGTCTTTTACCTTCTATCTGAATGGATGATGCTAACCTCTAGAAGAGTAATTCATTGCATCTTCTTGGTCCCGTGTTTTCCATTGAGATGAATTAGTTTTATTGCTTTCCTTGTTTTTTTGTCTTGCATATCAACACCTCTATGGGTTATTTAATGCCGAAATGTAAATATGAAAATTCAAATTTTATAATTAATTCAATAGAATGACATTTCATGATTAAATTCTATTACTTAGCTACATTTGTTTTTTTTTAACCAAATTACAAAATCAAATGAGTGAAGACTTGTTTCTCCTTACAAAACAATGGATTGATAATAACAAATTGTTTTTTTTTTAATCATGTATACCATGACTTCAATTTTATTATAAAATACATAGTGTCATTCTATAAAAATGCATTGGTGGTAATGTTTTAATAAAAATATATTGCTGGTATTTTCACTACAAAAATGTATTGTTAGTATTTTTTAATAAACAAATATTGCTTGTATAAAAATACAAGCAATAAATTTTTATACTTTTCTAGTTTTTTAAAGTTTAATTAGGGGGTTCACGACTTAATGCCTAAATATAAATATTGTGAACACAAGTTTATGGCTTCATCTAACTGTATATTATACTTAATTGTATGCTTTCAACTACAGATAAAATATATTGGTCATTTTGCAATAAAATGTATTGTTGATAATTCTATAAAATTGTACTGTTGGTTATTTTATAATATAAATATGTATTACTGATATTTTTAGAATAAAAATGTATTTTTATACTTTCATAGTGTTTTGTTTTTGTTCAGGGTTTTAATATTTGCTCATAGATGGGACCCTAACTTACCAGATGTAGTTTATCGTCATACCCAGGACGGACGTGATGTAGAACGATTAAACGGAATCAGTCCACTTTTTCTCTCGACAGAATCTATCTGGCACCCTTATAAGTCTCCCATTCGCTTATGCATGGAATATTGCTGTCACATCTGGTCTGATAATTCTGTTAAGCAACAAAAGATTTTTGACAGAATCCAAAGAAGAATCTGCAATGTCATCGTTCCTGACCTGGCATCTCGGCTTCAGTTACTTTCCTACTGAAGTAACATATCTTCCCGGGTTTCATTCTATAAATACTTCCATAGGAATTTTCTGATGAGATTTCCTCTTTGGTACCTCGACGTTACGACTTCAAGCGTAATGCTAGTTTGGCAGTTAGGTCTCATCACATTACTGTTGAAATTAGCAAGTGTAAGTGTAAGTCTATGCTGATGTTTTCTTCTCGGCTTCTTACTTTACTGTTAACTACGTTCTTCAAAAATTTAAATGCGACGTCAATCTTTTGTCGCCATAAATCCTGTTTTTGTAATGTTTTCTCTGTCCTCGAAGTTTTCAGAGTTTCTTTCCTTCTCACTGACTCCTTGCATTGTAGTGGTTTTTATCGCTTTGTCTGGGGTGAAATGAGTTTAAAAAAATCTCATATATATTTAAGGGTGGGCGTGTGAAAAATAACATTTAAAATTGTTCCTATTGATTATTTACAATAATTTAGCATATTTCCAAATCCAAATTAAATGCTGTTAGTAAAAGAGACCCCGCAAACCCAATCATGACAGAAATATCGGTTAACCAAATGCAAAAGAAAAAGAACGTGAGGAATTTATGGAAATAAATTAAATCACTCTCACAATTAGGGGTGGGGGCATATTTACTTTCCGTTTACAAAGTTTAAAATTTTTTTTTTTATATATTCACATTTTCTCTGGGCACTACCTTATCTTTCTACTTTTATTTGCCAGCTCCAGACGAGATCTTTTCTATTTATGTGCCATGTTCTTTCAGGACGTAGGCAATCATGGCTCTCCACCTCCCTCTATCCCTTGCAGCTCTCAACAAGTTCCTTTCCTCTGTCATCTCCCCCAGACCACGTTCTGTCATCCACTTGCTCAAGCCCGCTAGGTATGTCATGCATTGTTTTCCTTTGTCTCTCTTTCCCTCTATTCGATCCATGAGTATCAGATTCTCCAGGCCCTCCTTCCTCGTTATGTGTCCCACAAACTTCTGC